TCAAAATTAAAAAGTATACAAATTTTAGTTTATGTGTATAAGAAGATGACATGAATATTTGTAAAAAAAACTAGCAAGTAGTTCACATTTGTATATAATATTGAGTATGATAAAAAAAATAAAATTCAATTTTTTCACAAACAACATGCTCATTTGATGTTACATTAACTACAATGGTTTTCATTCTATGATTGATATAAACTAAAAAAGCATGTTGGAAAAATCTGTTATCTAACTTGCTATAAAATAGTATGATTCATTTTGAAGAGATTGATGTGCTTTTCCATTCTTCATACATATATCAAAATAAGAGACACTAAATTTGAAGGCAGATATATATTATTCTTATATATGTATATTTGTATATCTTTTTTATTTGATGCTTTATTTACTACCATACAAGAAAGTTGATGTTCATTAAATAGTTAACATTGAATATGGTAAATGGTAAATAGATCAAGCCCGTGGGACCCAAAGGGTCAAAAGGCTAAAAAACACAATACAAAGAATCCAACTCCAAACAAGGAGAGAACCAAAAGAACCCCCTAGCTAGTGTCCAAAGCACTAGAACGGTAGTCAATTTAGTAGTCAATAGTAGTCAATTTATTCTTATATAGTATATCAATATGATTAGTGTATTAAGTTTATTTTTGTTATTTACAAGTCAAAATACAGAGTTAAATCTCCCAATAGTGTCACCTCCTAAGAGTGACATCCTCCCATTAGTGACATGAAAGTGTGGAACCATTAGTTTCTAATGTATAAATCTGCTCAATAAGAACCGTACGTCACTATTGGTAATTGTGACATGAGACGGTTCAATAGTGACATCGTTAAGCTTTTATGACTATTATAATTACCTAAAGTATTCGTTCACAGGTTGCGGGTTTAGAATCATGCTTTTTTATTATGATTCCAAGGAGGTTGAATCATGATTTTAATGATGGTGTGAGAATATTGAATACATCAAATGTGAATTGATATTGTTATTATCTGCTACTTTTCCTTGACGGACATCAAATTTATGTCCAGCACGACAGGTACCAAAAATTTATGTATATATGATTTTATGCTTGGAGCATAAGTTAAAGATGGGTGCAACACGACAAATAATTATACATGCCTACAAAAAATCATGTGGATTTACGAAGTAAAACATAGTTCCGGATGGCCTCTTCCTTTACTCATGACGTTCTTCGTTCCAATTGATATTCATGTTGATTATAACCAACACTGTAATATGAAGAGCATTCAATTTTGCAAAATTGGTATATTTCTCAGATGAAAAAAATCTTTTCACGATTCAACCATGGAACTCTTTGAATAGTAGAAATCGTCGATATGCAATAAAGTACATATATCTTAAAAATTTTAGTAATATTCTATAATAAAAATTGTTAATATACAATTGAGTACAAAAATCTTATGTATTAGAAATTTTCTCATCGTGAACATCAAATATATGTGATTTCACTTATCATTGTGGATAGACGTTGAAGTTCCGATAGCCAAATGATCCGTTAAATATGACTCAACCTCGTGTGAGTGACACCTCCCAACAGTGACGTAAAACTCTAGAACCAATGTATGTCACTATTGGGAGGTTTAACTCTGTACTTGTATTTTACATCCATATATAAAAAGTATGAAATATTTTTCACATATTTTTTGTTTATGGGTTCAGGATTTGTCAAAAAGGAATTATTTGATAGTATCCCATCGAAAAACAACTTACTTACTGAAACCATCAAGTTTTATTTTACCCGATGGGACCCCAAAGACGTTCATGACACCCATGTTCTTCTATCGACCCGACGGTGACAATGAGTATGACGGAGCCACAATAAGTATCAAATGCACATCACAGATATGTGTCGTGGGTTTTATGAGCTGAATTTTATGTGTGAGGCTGACATGAGTAGGAAAAAGGGACAAAAATTATTTGGATTTGTTGCGCAATAGAGTGTGAGGATGGGCAGCAGTCGCCATCAGATCTTCATGCTTGTTGGTCACCAACTTGGAAGCTATTGCAGCTCTGCATGCAGCGAAGAGTACATCGACCAAGGCCGGAGCAAGGAAGTTGAGTCTTTTCAGAGGGTTGAAGACCTAGAACAAGGTCATGACCTTGGAACTGACCGCGAGTATTTTAGAAAAAGTTTGCTAGCTTGGTCTGCGGTTGAACTCGATCAAGGAACATCACGATTTCATTCGCAAAATTCAAAATTTGGAAGATGAAAAAAAAATGTATAACAAGTCTTAATGATATGTCTATTTTTAATAAAGTTTGCACAAACCTAATTTGGGCATGAGCACTCGAAGGTTCTTTTCAACTTTCATAAGGTTTCATTGAAACAAAATTTTTTTAATCCGCGGCCGCTCGAGCTTTTGCACGCTCCTCCTCTGCATCTGCATGTTGCTGCTCGGTCATACTTATTGTCACAGTCGGGTCGATAGAAGAACATGGATGACGTGGATGTCGTTGGGATAACATCGGGTGAAACAAAAATTGATGGGTCCAGTAAGAAAATTGATTTATGATGAGGTCCTATCAAATAATTTCCTTTTTGACAAATCCTGAATCATAAACAAAGAACACGTGAGAAAAATTTGTAAATTGTTTTACTTTGGGGTCCCATCAAGTAATTTACTCTTGGTCAAAGCATCAGTCACCTTAGTGTATCTTATGAAGTATGTGTTCACCCTTATTATATCCATGTAATTTGTGAATCAAAATTTCATTTTTACTTTTTGAAGAACAGTGATATATCTGCAATTTATGAGAATTTTCAGTAGTAAGTATTATAAATTCTTCTGGAAGAAAAAATGTTTAGGATCTTACAGTGGATAAATTCTGATAAGAACGGAGTCTCAAGATACAGGCCAATTCCATTTGGGCATTCTTCGCATTCTATTGCACAAGGCTCAAGTTCCATCTTATTGCGACGATTCACGAGTGCTTTTGATCGGCATATCGTAAAATATAAGGGAGATAGGGTACCTCACATCGTCATCAGCTCGCTGTAGGCCAGAAGGAAGGAATACGGTGTTTCTCCTCGTGGCCGTGACAATGCGAGTGCAGGAAATGGGAAACATCGGCGCACAGCCAGACAGAGGAAATGGCAATCATGCAACGGGGGGAGGGCGAAGGAAAGTGGCCCATTCATAACAAACATTCTTCCGCTCGTCTCCGCATGCGTAACATTTAAGGAAATCACAGGGCCGGATTTAGGAGCGAAATGGAAGAGGCGAGGCGAGGCCAGAGGAATGATTTAGAGCGAAGAAACCGACAAGGCCATCATCATTGGAGGAACGATATTGCGATGGAGAACTGACAGCAGGAGGAGGAGGAGGAGGGGATGGGGGAGGAGGACGGGGGAGAAAGGTGGAGGGTGGGTCGCGCATACTTCCCAAGGTTTATTCCTCGCCCGAAGAATTTGAAAAAAATTCCTCACGAGTCACGGCAGTTACTCGATAGACATTGTGGGGTAGGACCACCGCCGGGGTGGTGGATGGATGGGGACGGGCCGGTTAAAGTTGGGACGCACGCACGCTTTTAGGCGCACGCTCGGGTGCGCGTGACTGGCATGGCGCGGTGGGCCCGCGGCAGAGTAGGCGGAGTGCCAGCTATCTTGGGCTGCAGATGGGGCATGGATGGATGGGATGCGCGAGCGCGCGATGGGATGAGGTTAGGTTGTGGATGGGCCGACGGGGTGGGAGGGGAGCGAGGGGGCTGGGGGAGCCGGGTCCCGATGTAAGACATCATCGATGCCACGCGAGATACGGGTGCGGGAAAGGGAGGGCGTGTGGGGATGCGCTCGGGCGTGCTGGGTCCTGGCACTGAGGCGCACTGCGTGCCCACCGTGGGCCTCTCTGCCTGTCGTGCGCCTCTCGTTGCCCCCCGCCATCCCTCACCCTCGGTGCCTGCCTGAGTGCCTGACCCGACTGACGCCTGCGAGCTGCCAACGTTAGGTCGGGGCCCGGGTGCTGGCAGGCACGCAGCAGCAGGCACCAGGACGATCGCCGACGGACAGACAGGGCAGGACAATCGGTCCGTCGCGCGCGAGGCCCTCTCGCGGGAGTTGCCGCCGCTGACGACGACGCTCCGGTTCCTTCCTTTCTTGCTTCCTTGACCCCCGCTGGGCGTGCGGTGCCTTGGGGCAGCAGCGCCAGCCGCGGAGGAGGGCCGGCAAGGTTCGGCTCGGCCCGCCTCTTGCCCTCCCCTCTCGCCCCTGGGGCTCGGTCTCGGGCTCGGGAGGCAAAAGCGGTGCTGCTGCTGATGATGATGATAGGGGGAGGGGGGTCTCGGAACAGCCCCGGCCGGGAGCCCCTCGCCGTTTCCTCTTTCCGCGCGGCCTCGCGGGGGCCTCTGTAGACGTCAATCATATGCGATCGGCAGCTCGCTCTTCTTCCGTGATTCGCAGCCGAACCGGACCGCCAATCAAGGCGTTGGGGTCGGGGGCCGAGGGACGGCGGAAGCGCGTCTGGGGAACGGTCGCGCGTCGAAGCGACCGACTGACAGGGCAGCGACGGGGCTCTTGATCCCCCGATGCCCCCCTCCCCTCTCCCCCCCCCTTGCCCCCCGCTGCATGCATTTCGTGGTTTTGTCACCGGGCCTCTCCCGCACCTGCACCACCAACGACACGAAGGTCAGCGACAGCAGCAGCCGTGGATTGGGGTGGAGATATAGAGTGTAGAGTCCTAGCTTCACTCTGACTTGCGCCTTCTTACCTCCGCCTTTCCCCCTCCCTACCTCCTTTTCCTTTCACCCGAGCCCACCCCCCGGAGCCCCGAAGTCCATCTCCTACCCCCTACCCCAACCCCAACCCCCCCTCCTTCGGCCTCCGCCTCCGCTTTCACTTTCCATCCCTCCGCCCGCTCCCCCTTTGCTTCCCCACCGCGCACGCAAGTAGGTACCACTCTTGTCTGGCTTGCCAGCCCCAGCCCCCTGCCCCCTCCCCCATCACCCCCGCCCGCCCGCCCGCCTCCATGCCATCCAGTCCCTGCCTGCCTGCCTGGGCTCCTGCCTCACTCAGCCACACTCATCTTCTCATCAGCACTGGCCAGGTCGGTCAGTCACGCACGCACTCGCTCATCTGTTTCGCTTTTGGAGGAGCTCGACGAGCGACGGGAGGGGACGAGAGCTGAGCGGGCGAGAGGCGAGGCGAGGCGAGGCAGGGAGAGGGAGAGGGAGAGCGAGAGCCCAGAGCTGTAGCGATCGAGGCATTGCGTCGCTCGATTCTGGTGTAGTGGCGCCGGGTGACTCTTGGTCTTACATGTGCGTGGGAAGTCCGGCAGGCGTCGAGGACGTGGTGGCCGCTTCACGGAAAGAGCACTTGTCTTCTTCGGGCGGGCGGATTGGAGCGCAGGTCTGAGGTTCCTGGGAGCTGTACGCAATTTGGGTCGGGGCGGGCGGGGCCAAAGAACGAATCTCGCGTTGGAAACAGGAGTCGCTCGAGAGGTCTGGTCCGTCGGTGCGGGGTGTCAGGGTGGTGCGCGAGTAGTATGCTGGGGAGCAATCCGGAGGCCGCAGCAGCAGGCCAAGAGAGCATGCAGCAGGTAGAGCACGTCCGCGAGGTGGAAACGCACGACAATCATGGTAGTCTGGGGAGAAGATCCTGACACTGGTGGTATATAGGGTTTCACCGAGCCTTATTCGCGAGACGTCCGACGCAACTGGTCACTCACTGGTGGTCGAGGTGCGACTCGCGGAAGTCGGGAGGAATTTGCTTCACGCACGACTCAGCAATTCCAGAGCAACCAACCCGCGGGAGAGGGTTGTTCAATTCGGTCGGGGAATTTCTTGGGCAAGAATTGCCGGTGGAATAAGCGCCGCAGAGCATGTGATCAGGGGCCAGTGCTGAGAGCACGAAATTTGTTCGCCCGAGCCTGAGGTTTCACTCGGGCACTCGACTGAGAACGCGCCTGTCGATCGCCAGCGGTGAGCATGGACTCCTGATAGTAACAGCACCGCGGTAATGGCGTTTTCCTCATCGGGAACACCCATGAGCATGAAGGAGCACTCGCTGGGAGTAAGCATCGGGCCCGGGGCGTCCGTCGGTGTTTCGTCTGCTGGGTACACCACCTTCGCCCCTGCCTCGCACGATTTTCAGGGCCCGGTGGAGTTTTCGCAGCAGCAGCGCGAGTATCTGGCGCAGCGGAGCATGATGGGCCAGGCGGCCGAGCAGCAGCACTCGCAGGGCCGCGGCCAGGGCGGAGGCCATTCGCAGGGCCAGCACATCAACATGAACGAAGGTACGTGATCGCATCCTCCTCCGTGTGTCAGAGCCTCGCCTCGCCTCGCCCCGGCTGAGTGTCTTAACCGTTGGAGTCCCGTGCATGGCAGGTGCCAAGCCTTCCACCGTTTCAACTCACGATTTTCTGTCTCTGTATGCCGATAACTCGAACCAGTACGCCGAGCATCACGACAATATGCGAGGTGACAGTCACTCCCCCTTGCACTCAGTCCGCGCTTCGTGTAGTTGGTTGACTGAGACAGTCCGGTGCATGTTGCTAGATCCGATCGGCTCTGTGTTGTGGCGATTGTGCCCCGGCGCGGTCGAGATGTGCGCCTTCTCACTGTCGCCCGGTGAATTGTTCACCTGTTTCCGCCGCAGGGTTGTCGTCGGCCTTGACAACCAAGGATTTTCTGCAGCCTCTGGAGACGCGAGGCAATCACGCAGCTTTCCGAGAAGGGCAGCCGTCGCGAGGTGAGAAGCACCCCCGACAACCCGAAGGCTTGCCCCACGGCAGCACTCCTGCTCCGCCAGCTGTGGTCGAGCGGCTCCTCTCCACTGGCATGAATGTGTACAACGGTGGGCACGGGGTGCCGAACTACGGGCGCGTTGCTAAAGGTGCCATAGACTTGCCTGCGAACACAATGGTTAGAATGGTCGGTGAAGGAAATGTGGAAATGAGGGGCAGGGGAGGATTCAATCCCTCGGCCGGTTCCATGGTGACCCGTGAGGATCACGATGCTCGAAACGACCTTCCCAAAGATCAGGATGCTGCCCCAAGAGGTAACACTTCGGGTCTGCAAGTCTTCTCTGAGCTCGTTCGTATTTCGGGGTCGCCGAAGAATGATTTTTCGTTTCATTGGAATGTCGACCGGCCGAGGCCCCTAGCATTGAGCTTCATGAAGTCAATTGTCCTTTGTTTTTCGGGTTCTGGAAAAAGTCGTCTCGCCACCCTTCAAATTCTCCATGGAGAGCGCGATGTTCGCAAAACGCACAACGAACATCGCTGTGCGTTTGCTTTCGGTTTTGCCCGGCTCACATTCTCGAACTAAGTGGTCTGTTCCTTCATCGTACAGGTGACAACCTCGCATACTGGTCAAACGTCCGCATGAAATTCGGGATGCTTCCTCCAGAGTTGAATTACCATTCCCAGCCTAACCAACCCACATCTCATGTCGTCATGGAAAATGTACAGCAACCACCTGTACCCAACATGCCTAAGTAAGTTATCTTTTGACGATGATTTAGGGCTGCTTGTCAGCAGTTTTGCATGGCATTTATGCTTAGTTTTTCTGCATGTATCATGGTTGGAGCTTGCCTTTATTTGGTCATCCAAACTTTCCTTACATTTACGGACGTTTCAAACACCGATGGGCCAAATCAGCCAAGGATGTCTAATTCTCTGCTCTTACAGGCCGTGGCCACAGGGTGTTCAGGGAGTGATTGACATGACCAAAAGGCCTACCAGAGTACTGTCGGAAGACGACGAAGATGATGAGGAAGAATATGGAGATCGTCCGAGGGAAACCCGCAGCAAAGAACCCTTGTCTAAAGGTAGACAATGATTACCTTATTCTGTGAGGAGTGTGCGACTTCTTTTTATATATTGTCGAAAGTCCAACGAACTTTGCGGTGTTATGTATGCACTTCAGCGAATTGTGCTCTCTACTTAATTGATTTGCTGATTTCGACGTTTATGTATAACTTGAGGCGGAACAAATACATTTCTCATTCTCTATATTTGTTACTCTCATTTTGATTCTGGTCTCTCTTTCTGAATTTTGACTTGACATGTGTAAGTGAAAACTATCTGAAGATACGATCTGTAGTGAGGAAACTCTTTCTTTCTTTATCTTATAATCATCCCATAATGAGCACTGGAATGAAAGGTGTTGAAAGCCTGGGGCCACCTTGGATCAATCAGTCTAAACAGAGATTCATATTAAAAAATTATAACCACGATGTCATTAAAATATAAACTAACGATGAACATGTTTTACAATATATGTTCATCGCGTAGTTGTTCTACGGCTTAGAAAGGATACAGAATAAGTTGATTTCTCTGCGGAGAGTGAAGTTGTACATTTTGTTCAAATTCAGTCCTTATTTCCCATCCACTTCTCCCTCGTGTCCCTTCCTGCTTGACGTCCTAGAAAGTACTAACAGGATTGCGGTCATTTGCAGCTGATCCAGCGCAGAAGGTTGACGGTAAAGCACCCGAAAACAGAGGTGGAACGCCAAGATCAAAGCACTCAGCCACTGAACAACGGAGACGCAGTAAGATTAACGACAGGCAAGTCTTATTTTTTCAACAGAGTCGCGTCTCTTCAAAAATGAAGAAAGTCGATGGGCACAGAAGGTCGCACTTAGCTACAAATGAGTTATCCGGACAAGAAAGAAGGAACATTTCCTCTCGCTTATCGGTTATTGTGATTCTGTTCAGTGCGGATTTCTACTCAAGTGTATTGGTTCTCGTCGTTTTCTCCGTCCGGGAGAGACTATCTCCATCTTTTCAGAATCTAATTGCATGTAGCTTACTTTTTCAAAACTTCGTTTACTGCAGGTTCCAGATGTTAAGAGAACTAGTGCCTCACAGTGATCAAAAGAGGGACAAAGCTTCTTTTCTTTTGGAAGTAAGAACTTTTTACCTACTCAGTTCCTTATCCAGATTGTGGTTGTTGGGTGATTCGCCTCGTCTTGTGTCCAGTTATCAGAAAATGGACAGAGCTGAATTTCTTCTGGAAGTAAGGGCCTTATATTTCAAAGTGGGAGGAGCGGGTTTTAGAGTGAAGACTTCTGGTGTACGGGCACGTGATTGGTTTCCCTTGACATTGAATGGCATGTGTGTTCAAGAAAATTTTTGTAACATACCTTTCCACACATTTTGCTTCAGGTGATCGAGTACATTCAGGTCTTGCAAGACAAGGTTCGAAAATTTGAGACTGCTGAGCAGGGAAGGCATCAAGATCGCCTAAAAAACATGGTCTGGGATCTTTGCAAGGTGCCAAGCAACTGCTAGGATAGTTGACTGTCATTCGATGTAGCATGCAGAGATTAATGATTGCGATCTTTCGTTTCTGCTTTTGAACCGTTGGGAGTCACTTCCATGTCTGCGAACGTGGACTACTCTTCAAATTTTTTCTGTTTCTCCTGTTCTCTGTTCTCCCATATTGTACGAGTTATTCAGTTGTCTTTTCAGAGCAAGGGCTTAATGTGTGCTCCTTCAAGATAATGTTATCTCACCTCTCATTCGGTTTTTCTTTCCTTCAGAGAGGTGGATCTGGTCCCGGAGATACAAGTATCGAAGCTACGTGCATGGATGCTCTTGCGTACGCGAAGGAGTTTGTGCCTTCTTCTGCCGGACTACCAATCGACGTTAAGCAAGTGACTGAAGCCGCTGAGGTGGTTAGGCAGAGGGCTGTAGCCAATGCTGACGAAAATGGTAGCACCGAGTTGTCACACAATCCACAGCACACTCACAAAAGTGGACATCATGGAGCTAGTTCGTCTCACGATGAGAAAGAGGGTGCAGCCGTATTGGGAAAATCGCCCTTGTCGTCTCAACAGCATCAAGGACAGACCACTTTTAGTAGTAGAAACCTACAACACGCTTCACAGTCCAAGCAGCTAAGTGCTGCTTCCGATGCCCAAGCCAATGTTGCCGGTGAAGGGCAAGTACAGAATTCTTCTACCATTGCCCCTGCAACGGGAGCATACGATCAACATGATAAAGCGAATGAGGTGGAGCCCTCACAACAAACTAGGACTCAGGCAAGCACTCAACAATCACAAGGTGAAGGGGATACCAGCGATCAGCAACATCCAGACACCAGACATCGACATGGAACTACCACGGCGGAAGATACAGGCAACGGGCATGCTGCATCTTTCACTGATGACCAATCAAACACGAAGCCTCACATGAAATCGGACCGACAACATGGCTACGGAAGTTCTCCTCGATCCACGCATAACTCTCAGGCCACGGATACTTCTCAGGCCAATTGGCAAGGCCAGCAACATGGCAGTTCAGCTGAAAACTCTCAGCAAAAGGAAGAGTCACGCGGAGCCACAACAAGTGCACAAGGACAAGACCCACTGACGATTCAAGGTGGTGTCATCAACGTCTCCAGTGTCTACTCCCAAGGGTGAGTGAAGCCAACAGAGTTGCTGGGTACCCTACTGTCGTTTGTCCGGTTGACACCGTTCAAAGTGAGATTGATGATTCAGATGCAAGGATTTCATGCTTTTAGAACTCCCCTAGGGTTGTAGAATTGCCGTTGTGATCTGGACTCTGTTCAATTGTTTGAGAGGCCTTCACAATGTTCGTAGTTTGGAGATTGTGAAGGTTTACTTCAAACTTCCTGAAATGCCTTGGAATTTAATTCTGTTGAGCTGAAATCGTGTTGTCAGGTGCTAATCCACACATGTTTACTGATTGACAGGCTGCTTGACACATTAACACGAGCGTTGCAAAGTTCGGGACTAGATTTGTCCCAAGCCAACATATCCGTCCAAATTGATCTAGGGAAGAGTATTTCATCTGCAGCTCTCCCTCCATCTACCCCGAAGGTACTTGTTTTTTCTCCAGTGAATGTCGAGAATATATTTCAACTTGTTGAGATGAGTGCTTCTCATGCTATGTTCGACCTGTCGTGATTTAAAAATACATTTGCTGATTAAATTCCCTCGAAATTTTGGACACCAGGTGAGCGGACAACCAGCTGAAACTTCGGGGCAAAGACATCAACAACAATCTGAGAGTCATACAAGGCAGCAGGGAGGGTCAAGTACAGACCCAGAACATCCTCCTCTCAAACGGCCAAAGCTAGAGATGGAGCTGTAAAACTAGTGCAGAGGAAGTCAAAAGCAACGTATCATATATTTGTCATCACATGTCTGGTTTGGTCTGAAGGACGTGGGGTGACAAATAGGCCCGCTGATTGGATATGTGCATGAAAAGGACGGATGTTCCTATCTTCGACAGGGTTTTAAGTCCATCTCTTTTACAAAAGTTCTTGGAACCCACTTTCAGATGGTATCACATGGCTGCCAGTGTATACGGTGGCTGTCTGAGTAAAGGCGGCCGATCTTGTTAAGGTGCATGATGCAAACATCAGTCAACTGCAACATGCACTTAGAATCAATCCATTTCATGCAGACAGTGCAGTTTTTCTTGCAATGTGTGGCAGAACGGTGAACTGCCAACCTCTCATTATCTAGCACTTGTAAAGCGTTGTGAATTTTCCATTCGTTTGGATCCCATAGAAAATTAAGTGTCGTGGTGCCCCGCCAGCCAACAGTTAGTTGTAAATTAGGCCTCAATCAACAGTTATCTTATCGATGCGTAATAAAGCTCCAACATAAAATTCCAGCCAATCTCCGCTCAGAGGCCCTTGGCCTTGCGATGATTCGTCTCCTTCGGTGTAGCTCTATATCCTCACACTCTTTGTACAATCATGGTCACTGCAGCCACAAAGTGGCTGACCTCACTGTCCATGTCTATGTCAGAAATCTGTACTCTTGCCAATTTCTCTGAGTGTACCTTTTACGAAAGAGTCTCTCGTTCTGGGCCCAACATCTTATCGTTCTGGAAGAAGTCACGCTTGTTGTGGAGTGCTTAGGTTCGAGACAACTCTGTTTATGGAAGTTGTGCGTACTATGACCATCTTGAACTACTTGTGAGATAGTTTGAGTATCTAAAAGCACCGAGAAATCAGCATCCTCAGCCCACCGGAAACGACGGGGAATATCTAAGTTAGTGTTAAATCCTCTAAGTCTACATATTGCCTATCCCCTATACCTCATAAGGGTTTGGTCTTTGAATATGAGGCGTGGAGATTGAGGCCATGATGGAGAGTAGTCAGTGTATGAACCTGAGGTCCTTGAGGTTTGATGGATGATATGTCTCAGTGGACGTTATGAAAGTAAAAAACTTTACTAAGAAAACTTACGTTGAAATGTAGGGAGAGAAATGGAGAGCTGGAAGTGTTATGGTCAATGTTGGATCTGTAGGAGCTTTAATCTGGTGATTGTAGGGTGTTAGGTGTCGATAGAGTGAAGGCTATGATCTGGTGAAATGCAGGAGAGAAAGATGCCATCTCAACATGTAGGAGAGATTAGTGACAACACCTGGACTCAACAAGGATCCACCATCTACATCAAATTCTTCACATCACCAGTGTACAGTACAATCCCAGATCGGGTTATAGCAGACAAGGTGGACAGTCTAAAGCATCTCGACAGACTTATGAAAGTGCCGGGTTGAAACCATTGCCATCATTTATATGTCCACAATCTGTTGGTATTACAAGAAGGATTGACCTCAAGAGCAAAAAGAGAGACCCATATGGATCAAATTCAAGTTAGCATTGTCACAAACATGGTCATATGATTAATCGATCATATGATGGTGTAAGGTGACTACGAATTACCTGCTAGTATGCTGACGGTCGGCTGCTAGTATTTATGGCTCCACTACGTAACATTGGAAAGATGAGGGTGGAAGACAATGTCTACATTCATGGAGATGGAGCAAGTGATGCCACGACGTCAATATCGTCGAGCATAGCATCCCCAACATTGTTGCGGTTGGCAAAGATTCTTGTCCATTCTCTTGTTTTCTCAGCCAAAGACTTGTTGGCATTGGGGTGTCCTCATCTCATGTGTTCCGTTTGGCAGCCAAACTTTGTGACAGGTTAGAAGAGGTGTTGATTGTTACTGCTCACAAGAACACTAGTAGGATTGATCTTGGAATTAGGATATCTACCAGTGGAACTCAGTCATGTAAGGCCGCTCAAACGATGGAAATACCTGCTAGATCTGCATACTGCTAGATGCAGCCGACGAGAAAGGACTTTGATAATGTTGGGTAACCAGAGTGGTGTGTTTTGATTGTCTGAGGTGGAAAAGGTTTATTGATCTGGCTGAGTGTTGTTGATGTTGGGATGTTATCAATTATCGTCTTAGTGCTCTTGGCACTAGCTTTTGGTTCTTTTGGAGTGTTTGTATTGTTTTTTTCTGCCTTTCGACCCTTTGGGTTCCACGGGCTTGATCTATTCATCATTTACCATTTGATTTTAGTGCACAATCACTTACGTTGTAAAATGATGTATTGCTTAGTCTCGTTTTGCACAAGACTGATGTGAAAACATGTCCTTGTCAAATTCAGACATTTCTTGATGGCCTAGTGATGCACCAACGCCATACGTCACCACGATAGGTTTGGCTGTGGAAGTGCAACCTAATCATGACACTCATAGTTTTACCTGTGTAAACAGGTGTTGTAGTTACAGTTTCGGAATTATACGATAACTGGAGACTGTTGTAGTATTGCATCAGATGGGTTCAAAATCGATATAAATCCTTTCGTCCATGAAAGAATACAACAGGGAACTATCCGAATCTCACCCCGTTCGTAGAGTCCAGGTCCTATCATGTATGTTGCCTAACATAGCACAATATTTTTCCATTAATTTTCCTACGTCACTAGCTACTCTCTAGGCAGTATACACATCATCCATATGTTTGAAGATGTGGACTCCCCCGCTGTTCCTGAACCAGTAGAGCCCACGACTTTCATTTTCTGATGACCCCTTCGCAGACATCAACAGGAAACTGCAATCTCCGCATGCCATCACTTCAATCTGGTGCATAAAGAAGGGGAAGAAATCTGGAAGTCCTGTCGTTCCAGTCGCAGGCAAAGTGTACGCTGCCTACACTCAGCCAGCCTAACTCCTAGCCCAAAGTCACCATTCCAACCTGCTACACATGAAACAAACAATTTCATCTGAACCTCAAGGGCATAACCTTTCCGAAGAGACCTCTTATTTGAATCAATTGTGCTTAACAATGAATAAAACAGCTCGAGTCCATGTACAATTTAATAATTTTCTTATCGAACACTTCAGTTGCTTCCTTACGTTACACAAACATATTCACCATTTTCCCTATCCTGATACCTCCTAACATTCTAATCGTAAGGTGTAACACTGCGGTGATAATGTTCGTGTTCTTGATGCTCCCGTGCCTGCAAAATGCAGCGGTCGTGTTAAGTGAAACTAAAGATAACTAACTACACATGCTAAAATAGAAGACATATACTAGAATCGAAACAGAGGAATAAATATGACCAATATTCGATATCCTCAAATTTCAACATGGACACTTCTGGTGCAGGAGTGTGAATATTTTTTGCTCACAGTTCGTATGAAGATTGTTCAATCTCGCACTTGCCAGATATTATCATGATTGGGCTTGCTTCACAACCCAGTTAAGAAGGGTGGCCACGGCAAACCCAGTTGCGCTTTTCTTCTCATTACTCCACACAGGTCCCGCAATATCAAGATGAGCCCAGGCAACGTCTTCGTTGACAAACTGCGACAAACGTCAGCCATTGTTAGTAAGATATCTGGTGGTTGAGGATGATCTCGAAGAACATGGCCATATCCGTGGTCTGATTTGTTGCCTACCTGCTTTAGGAAGAGGGCGGCAGTTATTGAACCACCGGGGCGGCCACCTGTATTCACCATGTCTGCTATGCTTGATTTCATCATTTCCCAGTAACTGTCCTCCATTGGCATTCTCCACAGCTTCTCTCCGGCAGACTGCGATGCTGAGGAGAGCTCCTCTGCTAGCGCGTCGTTGGGAGTGAACATGCCTGAAGAATTACAAATTCAGATTTGGGAGCGATGTCATTCCTTGTAGGACAAATCTCTCTAAATATATAAACTGGAGTCGACACATTGTAAGTTTCACAGCTAGACCTGATAGACTACTTCTAAGAAACTTACTACCTAATATACCATTATTATCCATTAATCCATAAACTAACACTTTTAGAGCAGGAGCACGATGAACCGATCCAAGTAGCACATAAAAACATAAAAACATAAAAACAGCGACATGTTACCTCCGATGTCATTTCCGAGAGCGATGATACATGCTCCTGTCAAAGTTGCAAGGTCGACTATCTGCACATCCAAAGGCGTGACCCATGTTAATGAAGAATCAGAGCAACGGAGTTCTAGAACGCTTTCAGTACTTCATCATAACGTGCATGCAGCAGAGAAGTAATCTCACAAGCGGTTTGAGAGAAATTCTAGAGAGGACAAGACTTTCGTGGATCGCCACTATAAGCACGACCCATGCACTGAGATAGGAAAGTCTCCTTTGCGACCAATTGAAGGCATCATAGTACAGTCGTGAATGCTTAGCCCTTGAAGAGAGCATTGAAGAGTGATCAAGAAGGAGTAGAGAAGTAAGACATTCTATAGCAATCATAATGGTCTTCAAAATGGATTGGAAATGGATGTGGATGATAGCCATCAATTGATTACTGGACGAGGGACCGGTGGGTACTGAGAGTGTGAAGTGAAACAAAAAAACACAGGCAAAACGCACAGGAGGAGTAAACGGAAGGAAGTGACAGTGGAGCAAAACTGCAGATCACGAAGTCTGAATCTGTAAAGGCGACCGCACCTTGTCAACTTTAAGGTTGCAAGCGTAGACAAGAGCATCAGCTAATGTCAGCCGGCCTTCAGCATCCGTGTTGTTCACCTGCGGGCCACGTTGTTGTGAGCTCGTTTTCATTTTAGAATGCCGATGATCAGGTGGACATATCGATTCCTCCTCTAACAAAGAGATGCTGACGGAACCCATAGTCAGCAAAAATAAACCAAAGAGGAGAAGGACTTACCTCGATAGTTTTCCCGTTGGATGCCGTCAAAATGTCTCCCGGTCTCATTCCACCGCCACCGATCATGTTCTCGCAAGCAGCCACGATGAAATTCACCTGCCGTGGGATCAATTGAAGTGAAGACGTTCAGCTAAATCTGCTGTAGTGAGATACTGGAGATGGCTACCTAAAGATCAAGAACTTGAGGAAATTGAGGATCAAATAATTAGAACAAGACATGTGCTCGAATAATTTTTCTAGTGACGAGCATAATTTCTCTTTATGATACTAAAACTACGAGTACATAATGTGTACCTCGACTCCGAGGGGTTTAACTTCGGCTATAGCTTTAGCTGCACCAATGGCCGCAGCAGCACCTCCCATGTCAATCTTCATAATTTCGATAGAACATCCGGGCCCAGTCTTCAAGTTGTAGCCGCCACTGTCATGACAAATCTTCAATAATCAGCTAGACAACAAAACTGTGCTACTGAAGGAAGCGGCAATCCGGGGTCGGACAGTACTGCGGGAATTGTCAGGGTGGAGATTGTCATGATACCTTTCGTGAATTGAAAAAACTGCTAAATCCTTGAAGAAGATTATGAATCAAAGAGGCAAACAGGACAACAGCGAGTTCCATTTTTGAATTCGATCTAACTTCAATTATAGCCCAACAGCTTGCTAGAACTGAGATAAATTGAACCCCAAGGAGTAAACACCAGGTCAGTGAATCATCGTGCGTTTCAAACCTGTCAAAGGTGAGTCCCTTTCCGACAATTGCAAGCTTGGTCTTCACGTCTCCGGTGGGCGGTTTGTACTGGATGTGGATAAACTTGGGGGGGTTTGTGGATGCAGCCGAAACTCCAAGGTAAGACCCCATCTTAAGTTTTCTGCAGGCTTCTTCGTCCAATATCTTGACGGTGAGCACATCGCTGTAGTCTGCTGTAAGATTTTCTGCTTCATCGGCCAACACACCTGACAGAAGACGCGCAAAATAGTGGTGAGATACAATCGGATGAAAACAAACTACGACAACATGCATAAACTGTGAACATTCCATCACTTTTTGTCTTGTCTTGCACAACTCGTGTTTGGAACATACAAACAAGCACCTGCATCTCAAACGGAACCCAACTTACTGGTACTGTACCTTGATTTTTGAAACGATGGGTCGAAACTTACTTGGGAGGAGTACGTTGGGGGGTGCATTGACCAACTGTCTAGCAAGAATAACACCACCGGTTACTTTCACAGTCTGATCCAGTTTCGCATCGAATGCAGCTCCAGAACCAAGTCCTACGATCTCTAATTTCTCCAAAAGGGGCTTCTTCCCCTCTGCCTTGAATCTAGTGTCTTCAAACAGGCCGAGGATTGTCCCTGCATGAGCTCGAAAGGAGGAGGAAACGGACAATCAGCCTTACACCATAGGGAGATTAACAAATTCCAAAACTACAACCATGAAATAGCTGGAGCTAAAACGACATCCGGGGGGTAAATAAAGAGTACAGACCCAATGAGACCGTAGAGGCAGCCGAAACCTTGGCCTCCGAAGAAAGTTCAGGAGGATTAGCTATCAAAACAGCCACGCTCTTCGCCTGGGCAGGCTTGGCAATGGTGGCAATACTCTCTCCCAAGCTTTTCCAAGTTTTGGAGGAAGCTGATTTGGGCTTCCCTAGCCCTACGAACCCAACTCTCTTGAACCCATGTCCAGAAACCCGGGCCGATGATGTCTGTCCAGCTTTTCCAGTGAAGTCTTCCTCCACGACTATCTCCCCAAAGATCCCACCCAATGCATCGTCTAACTTCTTCAACGCAGAGTCCTCAAAAATTCCGTTCACATCCTTTCCAAATCCACCCTCGAAAACGCCGATGACCACGACGTCCCCTTTCCACTCAGTCACATGACTTTCCGTGGCGGTGATAGCAATCTGCAGACAGAGATATCCCCAGAACGCTTAGCCCAAAACCCATTGCCCGCGCCTGTCGACTCACCAGGCTGTTCACGCGCACATCAAGATTCCTGACACCGACCAGGCAGAATGATCGTACTAAACCCATGCGAAATTTTGCAACCAAAAAATACCCAGCCGTCTAGTCTCTCGGACTGATGGATGAGGACGTACTGATATGGCATATCGATAGGGAGTTTGAACTCGTCTCCCAAGAGAAAGCAATTTACAAAGAGACCCATTACACCGCGGAGGCGCACTGATGTCATCGGAAGTGGCAAGAGATTTGTGTTCTTGGATCTCAGAGGCTTGCAGCCAACGAAGTGAACGTAAATGGACGTCAAAGAGTAAAGCATTACGCGTTTGAGCACACCAGGGCACATATGTCGCCCTGCCCAGACAGCTGTGATGAACGAGCCCAGAAGCTCGAGAGCCATACTCGACTGATAAGAGAGCAATGCGTGTGAAAGAGACAACTGAAAGTTTGATCCACAAGGTGGTGATCGATTCAAAGTACTGGGCAGGAGAGTGACTAAGATTCATCATACGGAACCACAATTGACACCCGAGATAGCACACCCACCTGAGGAACAATGCCCTCCGAAGGCTTCGTGAGACCAACATCAGCTGTGAGCACGGCCTTCACTCGGGACGGACTCATGGTGGAGAAACCAGACTTGGAGGCGGGCACAGAAGGATGCGCAGGACGATCGCACGAAGGTCGCAGGCCAGAAAAATGAGCAGGCACGAGGGGGAATGCGAGTGAAGTCCTGGAGAATGCAGCAGGGCAGAGACGTGCTACCAATCGTGGTACAACAACGGCAACCGTTGGCGATTTCAGGGCTGCCATGGCTATAATGCCTCCCTCCCTCTCTCTCTCGCCCTGTCCTTGGGTTTCCTTCCTTGCTCGTCCCACCTCCCACCTGGCTTTAGTTCAAGGAAGGTGGAAACTCACGCCCACACGGAATCTCGTCTTCATCCGTATATTTATTCCCGGGTTCTAGTACTGGAAGAAAAATTTCTGTACACGAGGTAAGGCTCGGAAACTTGGAATGCGCTTTGTTCTTACTATCGGAATGCTGTTGGCACTCCTCACTCACACACTCACTCCCTCAGTGATCACCAAGACCCTCTCATAAACCCTCCCCCCTTCACGGGCCCTCCCTCGCTCTCCCACGCCCTCTTCACCTCAAGTTCGACCCCAACCTCTCTCTCTTCTACTCCCCTTATCCTCCCTTATCCTCCACTTGTTCCATTCATTCACACGCTCGCCTTCGTCATGTCTCACGTTTCTTCCCCAAAGGGGCTCATGTGCTTTGGAGCATGTCTACCCTCACTCCCAAATTCCTCGGCCGTCTCCTCAAATTTGCCTTGCTGCTTGCATGGCCTCAAGTGTATGTTTCTCGGAGCATCCTTCTGTTCCTGCTCTTGGACATGTGACGACGCTCGTTCCAGAGCTAGCGGAGACTGAAGACCTTGAAGTCGAAAGGCTCTCCAGTCTCTTAGTGATTGTATCGTGAACGAGAGCAATTCCATTCCATCTGAAGCTACTCGGATGCCTCGGTTGTCGATTGCTAAGGTTCTGAGCTTCATTCTTCCAAACTCATACTTTCTGGAAAAGAAATCATATCCGTTCGGTTCTCATGACTACCAGGAAATAAGTCGAATCTTGTCTAATGAAATGGGCAACATAACTACAAAGTTCTAAAACACCAACCAAGTACTGCAAGGGAAAAAAAATGGATGCGAGTACCACATGAAGTCCTACCATGATGAAACCAAACGGGCTGGATGGTGCTAGGCCCTAAAGCAACACAATGCCAAGTGTGTACTTTGCACATGAGATGTCCGAACTATTTTGGTCAAAGATTCTCCATGCTAGATACCATCCGAACAAGTATCCTCAGAATTGCACCTTTCAAGACTCCTTGTATAGCAATGGTTTCGTCGAGTCTACGCGTCATGATAGAGAAAACGATACCCATAGAGCATAGTATACTGGTCTATGGTTCACTTACAAACATGTTAAATTCTACAGTCAATATTGTCGTGTAACTCTAAGGTTACGAAAACAAATTTTAAGAGAATGATCTTTGAGAATATTCACATCCAAGTGTAGTATTAACCACGGCTTAGTCTTTGCAAATTTGTAATCACCAGATTGGTAATAACTTTTTACTTAGAAAAAACGTATGCTTATGCACTAATCCAAGTGACTACTATTTATGAAGACACGTTCATGTGAGATATTCAAAGCATTGTATCATAATCAACATCACATCTCAACACCATAATAAATAATAATGAACTATTCGTATGGAAAATATGTAATTAAGATGGGTGCATTCATTTCTCTTAAGAAGTAAAGAAACCAGTGCTGTATTTCATTCACAGAAATTATGTTTCTCGGTAAGTTGGTACGTCTCTGTAGAAGGAAGCAGATTAATGTCATCTGTAATGTGTTTAGATTAGTGATTAGTCGTATGGAGCTCACATGGAATGACACTTTTAGGCCGAAATCTCGGATGTGGGAAAGGAGGCATAAACAAAGTCACCCTTTTGCAAGCGGCGGGCGATCCGAAGGCAGAGCCCGATGGAAGAGATTTATAGAGACGCGTGTCAGTGTTTGATTCGCTACATTCCTCGAAACGTGAGTTCAATCCGATCCCAATGCAGTTGCGTTCTGGAGGGCTTCAGAAACTTCAGATTTTAACCGCCTCTGTGTCGCGCCATCTTCGTAGATATCAGAGCTCTCTTCCATCCAGAATTCCAAGGGCAGAGTCCCAAGGGATCGAGACCATGATCTTCAGAAGAGAAGCGTAGAGGAATTTTCCACTCCAGGTTTCTCCCGATGTCGGTTCCGACCCGAGGGTGAGTCGGATTGATCTTGATCCATCAGGAACTTAAGAATCGATCATTTTCGAATTGATTGTATTTGAATCACGGTGGTATGATAACTCTATCGAAATTACAAGAAATTGGTTTAGAAGCGAGTGAGGAGAAGCAGAAATACTCGACTGCAGAAGAAGGTATCAAGCGGACATCAAGGGGAATCGCTTGGAATGTCTGAAAGAACGAGTAATCAGTGTACAGAGGAAAATTTTTGCATAGCTATCTAATAGAAATGAAGAAGTGAAGATTATGAAATTTGAGGAGGAACGAACACGATGTCGGAGATATCGTTGTATACGCCACTCATTGCAGGGCAGCTGTATGAGAGTGAGGGACTCAACCCCGGAATCGATCCCTTCGAGGAGCATGCTCCGCCTGTCGGACATTCTGAGGTCTTTCAGTGCCCTGAGTGCAGAGGATTGACTGCGGACTGTGGGTTGTGTTACTCCAATAATCAGGCGACCCTACGAGACATTTGCTCTAGATGCACCTTCGCTTCTGGCACGTCATCGTGCACCAAGAGTTCATCCCAGTCCATCTCCCCGAGCAAGGACTCGGTCTTTGGCACGCCAGAGTATAATCCACAAGATCTACTCGTCACAGCCTCAGCAGATGAAGATTGCATTCCCAGCTCGAGCCGTGTTGTGGATGACAACGACACAGGTCCAAGCACATCGTATAGTGTCAGGAAAACATCACGCAAATTTAGTAGATATCGAAGGCGGACATCCACGTCTGTATCTCCGATGCCACTGTCCAGAGTCATAAAGCTGGCGGCCTCCTTCTTTTTCATCTACAGTGCCATGAATTCCATTTCGGAATACGTCACATCCCTTTTGCCGGACAGCTTAGGAGACGAGTCCTTGTTCCTGTTGCAAACAACATTATGCGCTTCGACCCTGGCGGCTCCAAGCATTGTGTCAGTCCTAGGAGAACTGCGGGCCATGATGTTGGGCGGAACAACTCACGTCATATACCTAGCAGTTTTGATGCAGCCCTCGCGGTCCTTCGTGTTAGGGGCCAGTGCCCTGTGTGGGTTTGGAGCTAGTGCATCCTGGGTAGCTCAAGGAACTTACCTCACTCGGTGCTCACCTCCCGAGAAGAGGGGCCTTTTCACCGGTGTATTCTGGGGGATATACTACGTTGCTGATATAGTGGGCAACCTGACTGCATATACTTTGTTCAAGTACCTCTCTCAAAATACCATGTTTGCCATGGGTGCTTGCTCGGCCTTGGTGGGTGTCCTGCTTCTCCTGTTCATGGAGGAGAGAGATAGCACCCTCGGGGAAATGGGTGCCAGTGGCGGCAGCAATGCCAATTCCGGCTCAGACACGGGAGAAGAAAGCCTGACGTTTGGAACTTGTGAAAGGTGTGGAAATCCCCCCAAAATGGAGGTGCTGCAGGTGTGCAGAAGGTCAAGCTGGGGGGGCCTGTTGCTCTTTCTTCTGTTGACACCGATGCTCTTCTATGCCGGATGTGAGTCGGCTTTCTGGACCGGAGAGTACACGAAGCTACTTCCTACCAACACAATCGGCTTGGTGTTGCTTTGCACTGGACTGGGACAGTTCCTTGGATCGTTTTTATTAGGCTGGTTGTCAGATTTTTTCCACTGTCATACGCCAACATTCCTGGTTGGAGTGTTGGCTAGTGCTACGGGACTACTCACATGCCTGCCACTGCAAAAGGCCTCGGAAGAAGGTTATGTTCCAACTCAGCCTTGCATTCTGGGCACACCGGTGATAGCATTTCTCGGAGCCTTCAGCTTTGGAGTGGCAGACGGAGTTCTTACGACTCACTCCTATGCTATTACAGGAAGGATTTTCCCAGGAAGGAAGCCAGAGATCTGGGCGGTCTTTAATCTTCTAAGCAATGGAGGGGCAGCTTCCACGTACTGGTTTGGAATGATTTTCCCTGTGTTGCAAGGAGGAATCGTAATTCAACTCTGGGCCCAGGCTTTGATTCTCACAGTGGGCACTCCATTGTACATCATCGTGGATATATGGTCTGCGAGTCAAGCAACATTGCAGATGCATATGTTTCGTAGAAAAAGGACGAGAAGACACCGCGTCGAGCAGAGCCTAATGTTGAATTAATTTCACTCTTTCCATCAATATAAGTCTTTCTGACCCATTCTGTAAAATGTCATACCAATTTTCAACCTGGATTATTGATCGGTTGCCCAGACGATACTACGAACCATGGTTTCATCCACCCTTAAATATCATCTGTATACTGGATGTACCTCTGAGCTTTGCCGGTGACGAACAGGAAAAGAACATCCGAAGACTTTCTGTCCCACTTTCATCTACAGAAAGTTGGAAAAAAAGCAATCATATACTAGAGTATCTGACAAGCTGGGAACGGAAAGCTTGAAATTCTGAATATATTTTCGCTCACCTCAATTTGGTTAGAATGGGCTACTGCGGACTCGGTCTTCAAATAAGTTATGCCAGAAGTAATCAGGTTACGGAGTTAGGGCCCATGAGCCATAAACTAGCACCGCCTCACCTAGCTCTGATGCATATCACAACTTTCCCTCCTCCGTCCCGATCGACCGCCGCCTAATCGATCAACTGTCCTCTGCGTTTCTTGAAGATATCTTGCGCTACTACGCGGTATGAGCGAGCACAAGAACAAAGAAACTTACGATACGCGGACATACTCAATCCAAGAAGCCCTGTCTTAACAAGACCAAATTCCTACTGACTACAATTCAGACTAATCAGAGAGAACAGAGAGAGCGATTATGTACTGCCTACAGATGGAGCTCACCACTCTTTCAGGAATGCACTAGCGGAAAATCGAAGCGAGCAGCAAAGACACTTTACTTTCACACGGTGGAAGAACATGGAGCTGATGAATCCACATCGGAAGCCTGTGCAAGCCAAAAAGACATGTTCCTACATCCACTGGGGCGATCACGAATCAAGATTTGGCAGCGAGGCCACACGGCACCAAGGTGCGCGGAACCCTTGGCTGAAAATATCTTCGACCTCGTGTCGTGGACAGGCCGCAGTCCAATGCTCCTCTGTTCGAGACTGGGGGCAGTTCCGAGGTCGGGGCAGTGCAATGCCGCAATTTGACATCGGCCGAGGCAGAAACTCGACAGTGAGAACACGGGGCTGAGTCGATGGCAGACGGGCAACGTGGAGTGCCAGGTGGCTGCTTCCCAGTGGGCGAACCCAGTGGCATCTAGTTCACATTCAGTTTTCCCTATGACTCAGGCAATCCAGAGAGAACACGTTTCTACGATCTTCCCCGAAGGCAGAACAGTATGTGATGAGTCTGCGATTGTGCTTTGCCAGGTGGAAGATTCGGTGATTCTCCTTCTCGTGCAGTGCTGGAGTCGTTGAAGATTATGTATAGCAGAAGCTTAATCTCAATAGAGTTTGATATTATTTTGGGTGGGGCTTTGTTTCAGCAGATTTTCTCGGTGTGGGAAATCGCGCGGATAGGAGATGCGCAAGTCGAGTTTATGCAAGCTAATTTCCGAGCTCACGTCTGCGGAGCTCGAGACTGTTTGGATTCTCAAACCTCACCTTCCAATGGTAGTTCTTGAAGTCTGGAAATGGTATCGTTTGTCAGATTCTGCTCGATGGAGCATTTATCTCGCAGGAATCTCAAGCCCGTGTTGGCCAATTCTTCATCGACCTCTTTGCAGAACTCCATGGCTTCGTCGAAAGGTTTGGCAAATTCGTTCTTGTGCATCTCCAAAAAGTCGCAATATTCATTCTGAAGCAATCGCGGAGAGACATATCGACCAATCAGGTAATGTATCGGTTTGACAACTACCACTTTAAGAATAATTAATGGTCTCCAGTTTCACCCTCGCGGTTCAGAACCTGAGCAAGAAGCTTTGGGCGGTGGATTGTGGGGAAATTCACGTTACCATAAACTTGTCCAGTTCCGGATGGGATTCCGTGGCCTGGACCCCTGTTGGCAGTTTGCTCTCGAGTTCAAAGCTTAGTTCTTCCATCTCCTTCAGCTGTGCATCCGTGGCTCCAAGCTACACATATGATGCAAATAGTTCATAAGTAGTCCGACATTGTTACCAGTTTCCTTATCTTCTCGAAGTTGGGGCTTAAAAGTGCATCGAACGCAAGAATCACCCACAAATGCACTCAAAACAGAAGCCAAACTGCTGAACTGTACATCGTGAATATTTGAGATTCAGGTGATTATCTGCTGTTCATATGTCAAGACATACGAGTCTGGATAATTCACCTTTGATAGAGTAATATGAGCTGCACATATTCTGGAATACAGATGATTCACCTTGCAAAGACTTATATGAGCTGCACACAATCTTTTATACAAGGGATGGGACATGATGTCGTTGTTGGACTCCAGATACTCTTGCAAACTTGTGTCCATATCCAACTCAGTGTCTTCTTTAAAGGGCCCAGTTTCTTCTTCAGCCTCGTCACCACTGCATCGACAATGCTCACCAAGATCGCTTCTGGCTTTCATTTGTGCGATTCTTTCGTCCATGATGCCCAGGGCATCGATTCCGGGGAAGGGCGGCGATGGCCTCGTTTCGGGAGCATGGAACATTGGCACCTCTTCGTTTTTTAAGTCCTCCAAATAAGTCTTGAATCTCTTGCCTTTGAGGTCGAAAATGGCCGGCTCATCACTCAAGTCATCTCCTTCCTCGTCGTAGTCAAAAGTCCTATCGTAGTCCCCGTGGAGATGGCAGCAGTCGGATTTGCACAAGTCCATGAGGCTCAAACCCCCTGCTCCCTGCGCCGAAGGAACAGGATAATCCCGATCTGCATCACTCTCAGGTCCTGAGCCAGAGCCCGGACGATCGTGGCCAAGTTCGTAACCTTCCTCGATACTCCCCATTTCCATCTCTTCGTTAGAGAACTTCTCGGACGTCATGAGATGCTTGTCCCGGGCTCTTGGTTCTGCGTGCAGCTTACTATACCACCCGTCAATCCTGTGGGATGGAAATTCGAATCGATGCGGTAGAACTGGACGACGACAATTTTAGAGGAATTTTGAGAGATTCATTCTCACCTACCAACAACAAATCGTCTGCTAAATCCAAATTGCAGGCAGCCTAAAGCCGCCATTTTCTATTAATCTGGTTTTCCTTGACTGAAATTTCTCCCAAGACATGCTTCACGAGAGAGTGGAAAGAGTAAGTGGATGGCCTGTAGAAGAGCATGCTCATGAGGGCAAGTATCGAACTTCAAGTTCATTCAGTCTAATTGCTTTCTACAGAACCAGGCAGGGAGCAGAGGAATCAAAGCATGCCATAAAAGCATCGCCGAGGGCCAGAAGCGGGGAGAGGGGCGACCAAAGCATCCAGTTCTGAAGGGTTTACTCAGCTACATCAATGCTCACCAATCTCGCGGTTTAGAGGATGGATTAGAATCATTTTCCAAGTCCAGCATATCTGGAGACTCCTTTAGGCATCCTTCTGCTACAGAGACACCCACATCCATCGCGGCTACGAGGTCGAAAAACTCCTGTCACTACTCATGGAATGGGGTTGCAGTTTACGCAGCGCGGACGTCGTCGAAAGAGCGAGTTTCCAACCGGACGAGCCGAGTTCGAAGATAGCAAATCTCAGAAGCGAGTGGACCTGCAAGAGCCGCCAAAAGCTACTGTGAAGAGCGTGGATCCGCAGGTCGTCATGATTTTAATACCTTTCAGCAATGTCAGAGGAGTTCCAGTTCTTCCAGTTCTTCACGAGAGATGCGTCTGCAAGCGAAGGGGACGTGAATCTATCTGCATGAATAAGCCGGCACTAGTAGCGCACCGATGAGATCGCGATCTCTTCGTCCTTGAAGGAATTGCACGTAGCTCGTTGTACTCTGACGCTTATCTCGTACTGTGCGATGCGCCGACTCTAGACGTGCCCATGAGAGCACTCGGGGGACAGGACGGAGATCTGATTCTGCCGATTCGAGACCTCTAACTGTCGCCGATCGATATGTCTGACTCACAACTGCATGTCATGGGAGACGGTTTTGCGATATCTTCGCTCTACCGTCCCATCCCCTTGTCCGGACAGAGTCTCATCATCAAACTTTATATGAATCTACTTGTCTGACCATCCGTAGCCAAACCTGTGGAACCTCCGACCCCCAAACTCAAACCACCTCCATAACCGCCCAACCCGAGAAGACAAGTTTGTAAGAGGTAACAAGCTTAACCTTCAGCCAGGGGCACCTTCCCTTGCTGATAATCGAAATCCAAGTTCTTGACTCGAGACCATGTGTTTTATTGCTAGGTGTCTCACTAGCTGGATTCGAGAACTTCCACAGCGCGACATGCACCAAGGCAAGGGGCCCTTGCTCTATGGCCAGGAGAAGGCATAGGACTTGCAAGCGTTAAGCATCATACAATAAAGTTATCTACAAATGACGTGCAATGATGGTTGCTGTTGACTTCGTGTAATGCTGACACGTATCAAGGATCTGCACTGTTGTGAACACAGTATTTTATTAATCTCACTTGCCAGAAAAAAAAAGGTTTGCACAAGGGCAATCAGGTCAGAACCTTTCTAGTCACATGTAAAGGTTTCTGTGTGGGCTCCGTCAGCTCTTTCTACACCTTCAGTCTGATGTAGCCATAGCTGAGGAGGTATAACTGACGCCGCTTTTAGATACATTTCGAGAGGTAAGACTGCACAGCTGTGTCCGATTGGAAGTAGATATTTGTATCAGATATTCAGACCTGAAATTGTGCTCGTAGGCTCACCAGCAACAGCAGCTCTGGGGGCTTAGCTATATTCTACTGTACAAAACCTCAAATCCAAAGCTCTCCAAGCGCCGTTCAAATCCAAAGAATTTCATGCACGAGTTCCATCAAGGCTGGCCTCACGGCAACTTTTGCGAGTTACAAATGGTACAGTGGAAGCAGGCCGGCCAAGGGCAACTGAAAGTGTGCATCTCTTCGGCTGGATCAAAAGTTTTAAGCTATAGACAAATGAATCTATGGACAGTGTAAGAAAGGTGCATTCTTCTCATCCACTGGCAAGATGGAGAGGTAATTGCACAAAATGTGAGTGAGAGCACGGATCTGTGGATCTGAATTCGTAATGAAGGATCTCTAGAAGCTAAACCTTTGTGGAAGCAAGCTCCATTTCCTTGTACTCTGTTCCGGAATGTTTCGATGCATCGAACTTTTCGCCATCGCCCCAAAGAGCGTAGGCTTCTTCACCATGAGCTGCATCATCTCCCACCTGCAGTTGTTTATCCGACATTCGGAGTGGCACAATTAACTTGATCACCAGACAGATTATACTCGTGACAACTACGTTCCATCCGATGATGAATAGAGCAGCGCAAATTTGTTTACCCAGCTGCTGTCCACCTTTCTCTCCTCCGTAAACGGCTCCATGCTCACCTTGGATCGGCAAGAACAGATTGCAGAGAGTGGGCTGAGCAAAGAAGCCGGCGAGAATACCCCCAAGGCTTCCTGCAACGGCATGAGTGTGGAATACACCCAATGTGTCATCCACCTTCGAGAAGATGCCGCCTGGTTTCCTTCCGAGAATCATCATGGTGTACCATGGAATGCTGCCGGACAACACTCCGATCACCATCGCTGCCCATCCTTGAACTACGCCTGCATATCCAGCAGACTTTCCGGTCAGTCGACAGCAAAATGACAGGTTGAGAACAGATCCTAGAATACAGAAACTGTTGCGGCGGTTTTCATTCTTTTGTTCGTAGCAGAAGTTCGACAGGTGACTTCTATTGACTTCCAGTGCTGGGATCGACCGAATTGCATATACTTTTCAAACTTCAAGGAAACCTATTCCGAACAAGAAGACTGCGAGTTCATTCGTTCTGCAAGAATTTCAGCTGAAGGTTCCCGAATGACCGCACAGGTAGGAACAGCAGGGCGGTCGGGGGTAGGCTCGATCAACGAATTGGGCGGGACCGACGACGCTCCTGCACAATATAGGTGGGCGATGGAGACTTGGGGGAGGTTTTAAGTACTATAGCATCCCTCCTGCACCTAATTTACTCCACAAATACAAGCAAACAGCTCGACGGGTCACGAAATGTCGGGGACAATGGAACGACATGGGAGTAAAAGGACGTCACCTCTACACAAACATTCACAGGGCGTGTCTTCGGGTAGTGGGGAACTGAGGACAAGCGGATCCGAAGGGAGGTCACTGGAGCCGACAGGGTTACTACATCCTCTGAGTTCTGGAGTTCTGGATTGGCGACGGGATGGCACCGCCTCCACGTTGTGGCCTGTCTGTCTTATCCCACACTCCACTCAATGTTAAGCGTTAGACATCGGACAGGCTCAGGACGTAGGCTGCTCTCTCTTGTTTGTTGCTTGGTTCCGTTGCTTTCCTCGTGCATTGGAAGGCCGGGCTGTTCTTCGGCTGGCTGGCTGGCTGGCAGGCCCGTGCGTGCGTGCCTGTGGTGGTTTGCTTTGCTTTGCCCTTGGGCTGCGTGATTCTCCCACCCTTCCTCCCTCTTCTTCTCTGCTGCGCCTGTATATGGGCTGGTGGGGTCACCACAACAGCCCATATGCCCGCCTTGTGTTAGTTCTGTTTCTTGGCTGTGTGCCTGATAATGAATCGCTTCTCGTGCCTGGCACTGCGCTCAAGTTTGGACCAGAATTTCAACGGGAAAAACATCTTTCCAGCTATCCGCACGACTTAAAGAGAGTTTCCATCATCGTTTCCACAAGCTCTTGTGAGGTCAGATTAAGTACCTCCACTCATGATCATCACAAAGATTCTATCACCAACAGATATACCCATGGAAATTCTCGATCCTAGAGGTTCCAACTCTGAGACCTGCTATCTTAAGTGTAGGAAGACTTGACAAGTCTTCGTGATCTGTATTTGCTGCAACATGGTGCTGACGCAGGGCAAGATTCGGGAAAGAACTTCTCTCTGGAAATATCAGGGGAAAACACTTCTCGACTACAGTCCCTACATTAAAGGTTACAGGACATCGACCCGCAAAGGACGGAAAACTATTTGCAGAAGTCAAAGCCTCTGCACGGAATTATTCCCTTGGACTTCCCGTTGACTTATAAAAGTCAATGTCATGAAAGCAAAAAGCAAGTAACAATGAGCACACTTTGCTACGTCACTGAGCATACCATAGCGGCTAGTGGTAAAACTTTGGTGGAACCCTTTTGCGGGGACTTGGTAAAACGATCCGAGGGAGTTGGATGTCCATGCTACCACACAAAGGAATTATCATTGACCATTGATAATTCTGATTGGCAGAAGACCAGACAAAAGCAATGAAATCATCACCAGCAGGACAGCACGGATACTTCCGACAGCTTAATGGACGAGCCTGGGCACGTTAACGACTTGGCACGTTCATGACGTCGAGATCGGCACGTCTATGAACGAAGCTCAATGTATGGCTGGAGAGATACGGCGCATGAGGAACTAAATTTTGGTTCTGTATTTTTCCCTTGTTCCGATATCCCTGCAGTAGGAGGTAAGTGAGAAGCCAGTTCCGCCAACATTCATCAGCGCTTCGATCGATGCTGGTGTTACTGCAGTTAATATATATGTCCGAATTCCTCCAAAAGAAAATTTGATCTGCGCATGATAGTCGTACCTGCGGAAGGAGTGATTGCAACCAGACCCGTGATCATGCCCTGAACTGCTCCAATCACTGAAGGCTTCTTGAAAACAATCACGTCAATGCTCGTCCAGACCAGCAAGCTAGTAGCTGCACATATGTTGGTGTTCAGTACTGCCATGGAAGCAACCACGTTGGATGCATACGGTGCTCCCCCATTGAATCCATTCCACCCTAGCCACAGAAGACCCGCTCCTGCCATCGTCAGCAGCACATTGTTCGGAGGAAAGCTGCGGCGTTCACTTTCAAGTCTTGGGCCAACCTTAAGTGCAACATGGATGGACGAGGGTCACCAGATCATACATTTCGACTTTGACTGACTCTTGTCAGAAAAAACATCCGAGACCATGTCAAAGTGCCGCACATGTAGCAAAGTTTTATGCAGATTCCACTCGACATTCTAACCACATGCAACGGGCCTGATGAAATGCACAGTTCATTGAACTCAGAGAATATCAGAGTGATAAGAACCTTACCCAATAAGCTGCAACATAACCAGCAACTCCAGATGATAGATGAATGACATACCCTCCAGCATAATCGATCACACCCCACTGGAACAAGAAGCCTCCACCCCATAGACTAAAAGCTCCTATTGTGTAAGAGAAGGTGAGCCAAAGGGGCACAAATAGCATCCATGCAATGAAGTTCATGCGCCCCAACAGAGATCCTGCTATTAAGATGAGGGTAATGGCCGCAAAAACAAACTGGAAGTAGACGACCGTGGCTTGAGGATAAAGTGGGGCAAATGCAGCGGCTTCGCCAACTGCTGTTGCAGGGAGAAATGCTTGCTTGAGCAAATACTTCTGACCGAGAGCAGGCCCTGCTTTGCCCCAGATCGGAATAAGTTCCTCACCGAACGACATTTTGAATGCCCATGTTACCCAGCAGATAAGGACACAGGCGAAAGCGTAGAAAGACATGAATGCGGAATTGATCGCCCATTTTTTCTTCACAATGCTCCCATACAGAATCACGAGACCTGGGACGCACTGCAGTCCCACAAGAGTGGAAGCCGTCAGCTGCCATGCGTTATCCCCTTTGTTGAGCCAGTCTGGAGATTGCCCACCAGCTGCAGTTGCTTGATATGCTAGGGGCACAGGATTGCTAGCATCCGCCATTGCTGCTTTTCTGGACGAACTTTGGCTTGATATGCAGTCGAAATTGCTTTCGAATTCGAAACCAGTTACGATTCGCAAAGCTCTTCAAAGCTAGATCATTCCAGTTGTCGCAGAACGCTCCTTCTGTCGTCGTCAGATCTGATGTTTGGAATATAGACAACGACCGCCATGTGCCAAATCAGTCACTCAATTATGTTGGACTCAATACATTCATGCGGTGCGGTCCGTCACACCTTTCACATTCTCTGAAGATGAGAGGACATTGTCTAATATGAACAGCGTAATCATCACTAAAGCCTGGTCGCTGCAACCTTCAGACTCTCGTGTTTTGGACGGCTGATTCTGCAAACTGAAGAGTCTGTAAAGCCCACGTAGCTGTCTTCTATCAGCAGTTTATTTGTGAACGGACGTAACTCTAATACTGAGGGAAAGTGATCGCCAGCCAGGGCATCGGGCGGAGTGAAACTTGAAACTCGATACTCCATTGACAGACCTCGACGAACGTAATATGTAAGTAAGACATTCAAGGAACAGAGAAGGTGGCAGAAAATTTGCGTTATGATATTCATCGAACATCTACAGGAGCGGTCGAATTCAGCAGATGCCCTGTTCTTTATACAGTGCTCCAAAACAGAATGAAGGGTATTTCAAAGAGAGTATTTCACTCCAGTGCCTGCGCTGGTGCGGTCGGGTGAAACCAAAGACTGAAGTGAAGGGGCTCTGCCTGCTCAAAATCCTTTCTCTATAGTGTGAATAGGAGAATCGGCCGTCTTAGAAGATCCGAAGTCGCGAGGATCCACAGGATGACTCAAAAGGTATTAACACAAAAGGCCTTCTTACTTGTATGACAAAGACTGATGATCCACCACAGTCGTGTCTCGAATCATGGCCTCAGATCAGATCCACTCAGTCAATTTCGAAGCTATACCCTCGAAACTACAGCAACAACTACACAAACAAGACTGCGAGGTTTTGTACTGACCTGGTGTTCTCTTTCATAGAGGACGACGGCAGAGATGCTGGACGAGATAACGTGGCTTAATTCGACATTCGCACGAATGAAGAAGGTCGGGCACGAGGATCTCTGGCGTCCTTCGCCAACACTAGCTGCGCACACAAGAATTGACTGACTCCGAGGCCTGTGAAGCCTTATAAGCGCTGCGTAGAAGGAAGTATTCTACTCTTTGCATGGGCTCAGAGAACTATCAATTGGTCTACTAGCACCGATCCAATCACCAACATGCGGGGATCCTTGTAAACTGTTGCAATGCTCACTGGCTGACGCTGGCCGCCACGGAATCTTACCGGTCAACAACGGTGGGAAAGGTCTGGAGCTTTCCTTGTCCGCATTGTCATTATTGGGGAGAATCTGGAAACCGGCTGTAGGCCAAATGCCGGTTCCTATACAAGCGCGAACTTGCAGAAACGGGCTACCAGCGTTTGGAGTTTATTAAAGGTATTCGAGGTCACGGTATACCGACTTGTTCAACTCAACGTGCGGGAAAGAAGGTCATGATGAGTCTTGCCTTGCAGTATGAAGAGTAAGCACATGTAATTGGAAATTTATAGACTGGTTCGGGAGATACTGCGATACTAGAAGTTATCGTTTTCTCTCGATTTGCATTGGAAAGAGAACAATAAGAGATGAAATTTATAACGTGGTTTTTTTTTTTATACCATTTCATTAGATGGTTTGGATATGTTAGACTTTTATGTGATATTTACTCATAATGATAATATTGAGTATTGTACCGGCACAAAAATTCATGTCTACAAAACTTTTGAATCGTAGTGTACAAAATTAACGCTCGAACGGTCTTATCGTTACATGAAAAACACAAACGATAAGTCGTTAACTTCTTTTCATCATTACTACTCCAAATACGAAAGTCAGCCCAAAGTAATTTAAAAGTTACGGGCCAACTTTTCTAGATACTTCTAAAGATGGACATTTGAGTAGGTTGAGGTTTTGCTAGTTGTATATCTAGGTTCACTTTCTTATATTCTATTGTATTTGTAGATGTATTTGAGATATATGAGGTACATTGTTTTTGAGATAAACAAGTACGTTACATATATACATATTATAAGAGTCGGATATAATATTTGACTTAAAATTTTGTCTTTTTTTTTACCAATTGAACCAAATGTGAAGTCCACAAATTTATAAATTTATAATGGACATATGCTTCAGATGTTCGTATGAATGGTGTTAAAAGGGCGAATGATAGTTATTCATCATCAACTACGCTATTAGAGCATGCTGTGGTTACCACTCATTTACACGGGGTTTAGGTAAGCTCTATGTCCGGCATTTTACTGGAGATGTAGTGTTAGTTATGCACATGAGGATAAATATATCTTATACTGTGATTCTCGGTATTACTCATTATCAAATATAGATAAGAAAATTCCGTATTTCACAAATTGCATATTGATATATCATATGTGTCTCTCCTCTAAAACATACACATTTCAAATTTAATTAATTTAATATCTTAGACAGACGGTGAGTCGAGTGGAGCATCCACAATCACGGTATTCAAAACTAACGATGTATTGAGCAGTCACCTAAATATTCCTCTGATTTTAGAGTTTCATAAGGCCTTGGATGTGAAAGACTGCAGAAGAATTTATGCCCAAGAGTAAAAGGAGATACTTTCTTTAGCTTACTGAACAGCAAATATTAGTAAACAAGTGTCGATTCACTAGCTAATGATGTCCATATGGATGCGACCGTGGCATATCATGTTTGTTCATATGCTATGTGAGAACACAGCATACGAACAAGTAGACAAGTTAAGCTAGATTTGTCTGAATTGAATTTTGTAGTAGTTTATATGATGTGTGATGTTATTGAGATTCAGCATCAATTGACCGTTTGGTTTTTACCTTTGAATTACATTATCTTGATATTACACGTGAGATAATTTTGAAGTGGTGAATATCCATCTTATTTCATGGGAATAAGTGAGGTGACAGCATCTAAGATTTTCACTTTTTTTGATATGCAAAAATGTCACCTATTTTGTTTCCTTCTATATTTGCAATTAGAGTTAGATAGTAAGTGTGAGTGGAAAAGTATACAAGAGCTAATCATACTATGGTAGACGGCTCATTTTCTGCAGTGTATTGCAGTCAACATGTTTCTATGCTACACAAAAATCACCTGCCAGTGTTAATATTTTTATGTATATCTTGTCTGTAGACGGTCCATACAGTTGAGATTTTCTAAGTGTTGTAGGCCATAATTATCTTTTCGCTAATATAGAGGTCTAACCCCCAGATCAGGGAAGTTTTATTCCTTGTACACCCTGATGGGTGTTCCTAAACTCTTTCCAACGTGGCTATCGAATGTGACCCTTTTTCAATCTACATCACAGAGGGAATTCCCACCCTTTCCGCTGTATTTATTCGAGGCCCCTAGTTCTTTGAGTCGGTTGTGGACAAGGGAATTTAGCTTGTCACTCAGCTATTATGGCTAGCTGTGGGTCAAATGAGTGGAAAGCCCAGGGTATCACATATAAGAGATGGTGCTTGAGGATTGCGCGATCTAATATAAATCGACCGCGGTAAGCTAGAATCTGGTTACAAACTACATCGTGATAATGTACACAGTACAGTACAGCAGTGTTGCGGGGTATCGGGCTGGAATCTCCACAGCACTTTTGTCGTTCCGGATCCTAGAGTGGTAATCTCTGGATTCTCTGCTTTTCCAATTTTCTTGGCACGTTGGTCAACGGCCTGCTTTATCGAGTTGCTGTCTTTGAAGCCAACCAGGAAAGCCACGTTTGTACATCACTATCAACCATCAAGCCATATTGCGTTGTCTGCCCGCCCGGGCCCACGGTTCGAAGTACGGAATCACTAGGATTACGTAAAGTAGCCAAAATACTCGTAGATCTTACTTGTTGCCTTTTGAACAAGAAACTCTCGTGAACTTCGTTGCTGCCCTCCTGAAAGTCGAGTTGAGGATATTCAGATGACAGGTACCATGCTGTTATGTTCTTCAAGAAGCGTGTATTTTTTGAATTTTCGATAGTGTCTTTATACTTTTGAAACTGTAGTTATATATTTTTTAAAGGCCAGAAGAAATGGCAATTCTAAGTCGCCGGCAGAAAGGATAGGCGAACAATTGACCTTCTGCGCAAAATTGAAAATATGAACAATTGACCCTATGCTTGACCTTATGACCGTCAGGTACGGTACCTGACGTATGAGGCTAATGGCTGTCTAGTATACTGAGCGTACATTTCTGACCATTTGAGTGCTTATTCAACGGTGTCCAAATCAAACCTGGCGTCTTAGAAAAGCGAAGCAAAAATAGACTATAATTTGTAGCGCTTTTCAATGAAAATTAATGTCCAATTTTCTTCAAATGCTTTAGTCTTTCTATCCGGAAAAATTGAAGAATAAATTTTGCTATAAGAATCTTGGGATTCGGATCAAACACGATCCAATAAATCCCAGCAATCGGATTTCCCAATTATTTCTTGACAAGTTTGAAGATGGCTGAGTAGGCTTGGTTGGAATTCCCATATCATAAGTCCTATAATAGACGGAACAAGTCAAAGTATACGTTTGCAAGCCTAAGAGGGAAAAACTTGTAGTATAGAGAGACAGTGAAGAGTGGGACGTTTATTATCATCTGTTGGTACATTGCTCGTTGGATACATTCATCTTTCAAAACATTGTTCAGCTTGTTGACAAGTTAACACCGGACTTAGACACAATTGAGTAAAGCCTGCGTGAGTTCATACAACGATTCTGCTTCATAGATCTTGGGGGCTGGTGGACTTACACATCTTCTCTTTGCCACTCGACTGAACTGATGGAAATTTGTACTCTGGATCTAGACGGGTTGACAATCATGAACGATAGGCTTGCGCTTTAAATCCATAACCATTTCTGAGGTTGCCAACCTGAAACATAAAGTAGCGTTGAATAAGAAAAGTAAGACTGCATGGACGGCTCTCCCCCTCTTATTCAGCTTCTTTCTTATCACATACCTACAGTGACCCCGGATATGCAAGGTCCTTATGAGTTCAGTTTTACAAAGGCTGATGTACGGCTATACCTCATACTAGTAAGACTCGTCTATACTCTGGGAAGGGCAGACTGAATGCTTTCATCCCGTTGACTTCTACGCGGTTTGTCAGAAATTGAGAGTATGAGGTCATGCATTGACTCACATCACTCCAATGACGTTGGTTTCTAGCCTGGTATTATATTGGCTGTCTAGCCCTTTTTCCGGAGGTCCTTTGTCTCCTTTTCGCTCTTTGTGTCTGGGGAGAGAAAGAGATGGATCCGAAAAAATAAACAAGATCTTCCAGTCGGACTGTATAGAATATATTTTCGGCATTTTATATCTTCAAGTATCAATTAAAATTTGTTCCCTTTGAGCACACATTGTGAGGCCGAGAAACGATTTGCAGGGATGAGGAGATTCGTGTTCAAACGTTGGATGTTCAAATCGCTGAGCTCAGTCAACGCTAGTTGGAGTGAGAAGTCCGTGAATCTAATGCAAATAGTTTCATGCAAGTAGCGTGCTCTTGGTGCGTCCATATCTACGATCACTTCCCGGGGTTGACTTCATTCATACAGTAACTGATGATCACGGAGACGCTGTGTTCAGGAGGATACCACAAATATCCAGGATCTGGGCTCCAGTTGGCCTAGAGACTTAGAGTTATAATCTCTAAATAAGTCGCTGCTGACCGTCAGCGACTTCCTTAGTCATGACCATCATCGTGATCGTGACTAGTAACTGCACCGAGGATAACGTTTGAGTATGTCCTCAGCAGTTCCTATCGTTCAGGAGGACTAGTGGTTTTGTGGCTGCTTCTGTTCACCGAAATCAGTTGGATTCGGTACTGTAAATAGCAAGCTGATACCGAGAGTTCGGGAACCAGAGTTTTCCAAGCTAGCAGGAGGCCCTTGTCTGCACTGAATTTGCAGATTCTGCGCTCCTGGGTATTCGGACGGTGGCCTTACCAATCATCAGTACTATACGCAAAAAAAGGTTGTAAAGCTGGCAATTGAAGGAGCGAATGTTAACAGTAAGTTCGGTGTCTTATGTCGTGTCTTGTCTGAGGGATTCTAGACTGGAGTCTTCGATCCTGAACGCTGCTTATTTTGGCCCAAGCCTGATTCGACGCCGGCTTTCTCTCCTTACTTTGCTCACAAAT